CAATTGATCTACAACTATCCTGAACAGCTTTTTTCCGATGCTGGGGTTATGGCTATTGAACATGCAGATTTTGAAGGAGTTGAAAGACTTGCTCTTGTCACAGGTAAACATACATCTGAAGGAGAAACGTTTGGAATTTCGTGTTGCCTATGCCTTTTTTTCACAAGTACTTTGGGTAGACAGTGCTAAGGGCTCTGGGTATTTATTGAATGACATATGTATGGGAGAAAGCTGGCTAGTTAGGAGATCAGGAGGAGTGTATTGAGTAATAGAACAATGATGAGATTGAGGGGGTTAGGTGAAGAGGAAAGTGAGGGCAAGTGGATCATATTGGTAAACAAGGGTAAAAGGTTAGGTGACAGTGTAGGGTTTGAAGAAGTAGGTGTTGTGGTTAGGTTTGGTGGAGAGCATGCATGAAAACTTACTCTTTGTCACCTTTTTATTTTTTAAGTAAATATTTGCTGGAGGTCACAAGATTAATGGGCTCTCACTCCTTAAACGTTTTAAACATTGGGATCTGTTGTAATCATTTTATAAAAATGTATGCTTCCTAGGTTAACTATTTTTATGAAATCTTTATGAATGCAAATTTAAAAAAAACAGATAGGAGAGTGGTGAAAGTAGGAGTTATTGAGGTTAAAAAGTAGGAGTTATTGAGTTTGAAAAGTATTTAAATTGTAAAGAGATCAACAGAATGAAATGTGGCCCATTACTGTTCGTCTATCAACATCTTTGAAGACCATTTTAATGCCAATGATATTTTGATCATAACAGGTGGTGAAATTGTGTCAACCTTTGACTGTCCAGAGAAAGTCAAACTTGGAACTTGTGATCTTATTGAAGAAATTATGATTGGAGAAGACAAGCTTTTAAAGTTCTCAGGTATGCATAACATCAAAGATTGTATGTTTTTTACAATACTTTGTTCATAAAATTATTGGATTCTTGTGTAGTTTTGTATTTCAAGATTTTATCCTTGTTTTAAGTACATTATATTGTTATCTTTCAAAAACTTTTTTGTATTTCAGGTGTGGCATTAGGAGAAGCATGTACTATTGTGTTGCGTGGTGCCACCCAGCAAATCCTTGATGAAGCCGAAAGATCTCTTCATGATGCTCTGTGTGTTCTGTCTCAGACTGTGAAAGAAACACGTACAGTATTTGGAGGCGGTGAGTCATCTTACTTTAACCAAATTATATAATGTTTCTTGTCATCTTAAAAGTCAACTTTTCCTAAATTTGAAGCTAAATTAAAATATATTGTTATGGAAATAAAGTTGCAATTGATTGATTGAATGCTATTTTAGTAGTGTAAGATTTTATTATAAATAAAAAATTATATATACTTTTTTTCTGTAAGGCAAAATTAGTTGTCTATATTGTTTAGTTTTAATAAAGACCTAGACTTGGATAGTTCATTTATTTTAGAGAAGCTTTAAACTAAAAACATGACCATTCATCATCATTATTGTTATGGATAGACTTATAATTAAATAATTTTAACATACATAGGTTGTTTTGAGATGCTTATGGCTGATGCTGTGAACAAATTAGCTGCTAAGACACCATGATAAAGCCCTCAGACAAGTGAGTTGCGTCATTTCAGTCTGTGGTTAGTGCAAATTTATAAGTAGTTTTATTTTTTTAAAAGTTTTAAAGCTTGTTTTTGCAGATAAACTAAAACTGTGTTTCATTTTCAGCTTCCAACTATTATTGCTGATAATGGTGGTTATGATAGTGCTGACCTGATTGCTCAGATGAGAGCTGCACACACCAATGGCAAACACACCATTGGGCTAGGTATGTTATTTAGATTTTTGTTTAATCCCAATACAGCTGATTTTTTTCCTCCCTGCGTCAAAACTGTTTGTACCACATCAGCGTATGGCCATCAGCCTTTGGATCACCACTTAAGTATGAACTCACACAACTCAACTGCTAGGAATTACTGCTGTCATCTGGAGAACATTGCTCTTCCTTATTAAGAAATCCAAATTCTTTTATCTTCTTTATTTCCAAGATTAAGAGGTCAGCATGGCTTGACAAGCTTATTTAAAGTATAATGGCAAGTGTAGATGATAAAACTATTGAACAGATTTAATGTAAAACCTAAATCTTATTTTATGAAGTTAAGCATATATCCCATATAGTCTTTAAAATTAGTACTAGCATATAGGTAATTGATGCTTTCTTGGGGGTGGGGGAGTAGTGCAATTGGGGAGGGGGGTGGAACATGATTATTATGGTTATTGGGATTGAACTTAAGGAAATGAACCAATACTGTGTTCAACTTGAGATATATACAATTGAAAGTTTATAATAAGGATAACCATGTATTTTAAATATTTAAAAAAATTAAATTTCATGTATTTTTATACATAATAGTTTAAACAACGACTTTTTAAGAATTACATTATTTGGTTTAAAGCATTCAAAATTTCTTCATATAGTGGTACCTCGGTAAACGTCCTTAATCCGTTCCAGGTCCTTGGACTTATACCAAACAGAAAGTATCCCAAACTTATTTTTTCAATAAGAAATAAAGGGAAAATGATTAATCCATTATAATGAAAAAAAATCCTATTGTTATTGGCATATTATACATTTATTGACGTGATTGTTTTGTTTTGTAATCGATTTCACCCCCTTCGCAACATTAGCCTTCCCAAATATAATGGATTTTAAAATACCTTTAATTTAACTTATAATGATATTCTTTTCTTCATTAAAACATTAAAAAAAATATTTTTCTGGGATTTTTCATTAGTGTTAGTGATTCCTAAATTTATTTTTGTCTTTGAACCCTTCAGAAGACGTTATCTAGGCGGAACCCAATCTCTATCATTTATATTAAATATACAAATGCAAAAAAGACAGTAAATATTATTATGGGGCAGAGCCCCACCCTGCCATACCCAAATGATTTCCCTGGCTTTTAATATTAGCGAAATTTTAATAATTTTTGTCACTATTATATTATTAATGAACAGTCGTTGCTTTCACATTTTTTTAAACTGAATATTTGTACAACTAAGATTCACAGTGAAATCCAGAATTAATACCATGATTGGATGTCCCACACAAAGAATTTGCCAAGTCCATCCAAGCTCGTGGGAGGGGGAGAGGGGGATTGGCTTCCACCACTCGGTTTGGTTTTGAAGTGGGTGATTGAACGACCCTTCATAGACCTTCTAAAATTCATGGAGTTGATGTTTGATTATCTTAAAAGTGTAAATAATTATAGTGCCATTAGCCAAATGTAATTGTTATCCATATCATTAATTGATAGAAAAAAGTATTCAATTTGTTTAAAACTTTACTAAAAGTAATATTCATAGTGAATTCTCGAATTAATTCCCATGCAGAATTTACCAAGGTTCATAGGAGAGGATTTTGTCAATGCGTCATACTGGGTATATTTTCACTTGATAAGTTTCCGGAATTTCTAAAATTTTGTAACTGTTACTGATAAGGTTGTCAACAACAAATCCGACAAACACTTACCTGAATGAGCTATACACTATACTCACCAAAAGATAAAGAATATTTTTTTAAAACATATCTTGTTACAATATGTATTTACTTCACATGGCTAATATTATCGTTAAAAAAAAAAGAAGAACAAATTCAAATCAATTAAATTATAGAGTGCTTTTTATTTTGACTGCAGTTAAATTTAAATCTGATAGAACAAAAAAATAAATATATGATTTATTTGGGACAAGACAATATTTCAGAGTATATTTAGCACTAGACCAAATAATCTACTTCCCCAGTGGTAAAATAGTTTGAACGTAAGCACTTGCTGCACCAGCTAAACTTGTTGGGTGTGGATTTACTGACTGATATTGAGCCAATGTCTCGCCTAGTTGTTTCACATCAGCACTTGCTGCACCAGGTGACATTGTTGGGTGTTGATTTACTGACTGATATTGAGCCAATGTCTCGCCTAGTTGTTTCACATCAGCACTTGCTGCACCAGGTGACATTGTTGGGTGTGGATTTACTGACTGATATTGAGCCAATGTCTCGCCTAGTTGTTTCACATCAGCATTTGATGCACCAGCTGACCCTGTTTGGTGTGGATTTACTGACTGATATTGAGCCAATGTCTCGCTTAGTTGTTGTACCTCTTGACCACTGACATCTCTTGCTTGTGGATTGTCAAAAGATTCTACAGAGTTAATCAGGAGGACCTATGAAAAGGATATTGAAAAAAAAATTGTACTTAACTTTGATTCCAATACACGAGTTTTAAAAGTGTTATTGGGAAACTTTTGATAAGATTAAACCCCTCTTTATTTTAAATGCAAGAAAAATTGTATAATCTTTGTCTTACTTAACAATTATCGAAGATCTAGTTTGTGTCAACTTGTCATTAAAAGCAACAAATTTGTTACATAAAAATGTGTATATATTAATGTTACTATATATGTCTAAATTTTGACTAAAGTGTTAACTGGAAGATTAGCCTTATAATAATAGTCTAATAATACTAATAAGATCTGATGTCAATGTGTTTCATTGTCAATGAAACGTAAGTGCTCTTCAAAGTATCTACATTTTGTAATTTTGGGGCGTAACAGGGGACTAATCATGAGTGTCTTTGTTATTAAAATAGTATATAATGATGCATACTTGAATATGTTAAGCGTAGGCCTTTGTTGATTTCGCTAATTAAATTCTTGTTCTTTTCTACCTAGTTCACTTAAATTTTATTCACAATAATTTTTTGAAATAAAATCTTCAGGGAAAAATAATGTCTGTAATTTCCTGAAATAATGCAACTCAACGCATCGTTAATCTTAATCCTATAAATAATTCAATATTGAATCTACCTCGCTTCCCTCAAACCCCATTGCCCCAAAATAGGGATTGTAAATTTAAAAAAAAATAGTTGTAAATGATCTTGGAGTAATTCATACCTGTTTTCAGAGTTGGTTATTTACAAAATAATAAATAAATAAGGCAATTTTCAAAATAAAAAAAAGAACAGTGGATAAATAATTATATGAATTTGAACGGTTTTTCCGGGAACTTTGGATAAGAGAAAGGTAGTCTATGAGGAAGTTATGTCATCGGGTGGATACATAAATAGATAGATAAAAGAAACCTATAGAGATATTCTGGAATGAAAAATAAATACATTTGGACGAGACAATATATTACCAAAACAACTGCTAATGTAGAGAAAATGGTCACTTCCATCATATTTTGTTAAGTTTTCCCTGACTCTTAAACAAAACGGGCTTAGTGGCTGACTGAAGTTGTGGTCTCGAAGGAACATTTATACCCAAAAGTATTCAAACATAAAAGAAAGAAAAGCCTAATAAATTGACAAGAGGCGTAATCCAATTGCTTTCTGACTTTCTGTCATACAGTCGAACGCATTCCTCCTACGAGTTTGTTTAAATATACATAATAAATATGCATCCACGTGATTTCTTGTCACTGTTACACATATGTATTACTTGTTCAGTGGCGTAACAAGCGGTGTCTCTTTCAGAAAAATTTCCCCCGTGGGGGGGGGGGAGGCTTTTCAGATTTTATTGGAGAGGGGGGCGGCAGTGACATTGGCAAGAAGTGTAGCTAAGGAGGAAGAGGGGGACAGATATCCCCATGTACCATACTAGAGTTGAGAAGGGGGGGGGGTGAAAATGAATCAATGTCCCCTGGCATCAAACACTCTAGCTACGCCTCTGCAAGTGAGGCGGTTTGGGTGGTCAGCCCAGATGTCACTTTTTCTTTAAATGGAGGGGAAGGATTTTATGACAAATGCAGAGTTTCTATCGTTCATTGGAACGTGGCATGAGTCTTGGCAAGTCTGAGGTAGTACTAACACTGGCTACTCCACTAGGTTGTGTATCTATCAGCACTAACAACAGCTGCTCCATTAGGTTTTGTATCTATCAGCAATAACACTAGCAACTCCACTAGGTAGGGAATACATCATCAACAAAAGTTATGACAGTTATTTTTTTAGGGAAGAAGAGCAGAAATTGAGGGTACTGTTGGCTCTTGAGTAAAAGGGGAAGGGTCTGGGAAGCCCTCCTCAGCAAATTTGGATTATTTCAAAATCAAAAGGTGCATTTTGGAGTATACCTGAATTTGGTGTTTCTCTTAGACTATAGCATCTGGGGAAGGAATTTTTCAATCGTCAGAGGGAGACAATTCAGCGCCATACATAATCTGAATTCACTCAGATTGTGGCGTGCCCCCAGGTAATCATTTGACACAAGCTTTTTTCAACCCTTTACTGTAACATTGATCAGCTTGGGGGAAGGGGAGTAGAATTTGAGGGTGAAGAAGACCGTCGCACATTTTCAAAATGCAGGGGTGCAATTGGCGCATACTTGAATATATTAATTCTTTCAGGCAATTTTTAGGGGGGGGGGTTGAGACTTTCCTGTGCGATGTGCTAAAATTAGCAATAATTAGGAATATCTCTTACTTGCTTCATTCTAAAATGAACTAAATGCATTTCATTTGAGGCTTCCTTGTGGTTATGCATTTTCCCTAGCTTAATATTACATTTTTATAGTCCAAAGTAAATTTTTGATAAATAAAAATGAAGTGATACATTTTAGCAAATACTTCAAATTATTTTTTGCAACATTCTGCACTTGGAGAGCAACAGAAGAAATGCTAGTTTAAAAAATGTAGGTGACACTCAACCTTAGAAGCATCGTGTGAGCTCAGCAATCCCTACAACTGCATTGGGCCTCGCATATTTTAGGCTTTGAGATGTGATTAAAATATTGCCTTATTAATCATCTTTCAATGCAAGGTGGGGGAGGGCAAAACC